CAGCCCCAGCACCGCGCAGACCTCACGCAGCCCCAGCACCGCGCAGACCTCACGCAGCCCCAGCACCGCGCAGACCTCACGCAGCCCAGCACCACCCAGACCTCACGCAGCCCCAGCACCGCGCAGAGCTCACGCAGCCCCAGCACCGCGCAGACCTCACGCAGCCCCAGCACCGCGCAGAGCTCACGCAGCCCCAGTACTGTGCAGACCTCACGCAGCCCCAGCACCGCGCAGACCTCACACAGCCCCAGCACCGCGCAGAGCTCACGCAGCCCCAGCACCACCCAGAGCTCACGCAGCCCCAGCACCACGCAGACCTCACGCAGCCCCAGCACCGCGCAGAGCTCACGCAGCCCCAGCACCACCCAGAGCTCACGCAGCCCCAGTACTGCGCAGAGCTCACGCAGTCCCAGCACCGCGCAGAGCTCACGCAGCCCCAGCACCACCCAGACCTCATGCAGCCCCAGCACCGCGCAGAGCTCACGCAGCCCCAGCACCACCCAGACCTCACGCAGCCCCAGTACTGCGCAGACCTCACGCAGCCCCAGCACCGCGCAGACCTCACGCAGCCCCAGCACCACCCAGACCTCACGCAGCCCAGCACCACCCAGAGCTCACGCAGTCCCAGTACTGCATCAACCTCAAGCACGAGTCTACGTAGCTACCTAACAGTCACGCCATGGTCACGGGGGTGTTCTCAGTATAGCATCTATTTGAGTCTACTTGTATGAAAGTGTAACTTTTCTTTACAAGATTCTCATCAGCAGGACACATTAAAATCAGTGTGTGGGGGCTGGGAAGGTGGCTCAGTGGTAGAGCGCTTGCCTTGCATGCCTGAGGCCCTGGGTTCGATTCCTCAGCACCACATAAGAAAAAAGAAAAAAGCCGGAAGTGGTGCTGTGGCTCAAGTGGTGGAGCGCTAGCCTTGAGCTGAAGAGCTGAGGGACAGCGCCCAGGCCCAGAGTTCAGGCCCCACGTCCGGACCCAAAAAAACACAAAAAAACAAAGTCAGTGTGTGGCATCATCTATTCTAAGCATGCCACTCACACGGGGCTGTTTGTCACACTGTATTAGATGAACGCTGAAAAGGTTATGTTTACGTCCTTGAAAATTTTAAATTGTCCTCCTCTGGAGGGAAAAAAAAAATCCCTCAGCTGAAGCCCATGTTTTAGCCTATGAAAAAGCAGTGCATGAGTTTCTAAGCGTTCATGCAACACTGGGACTGACGGCAGAGCACTTGGCAGCGGGGCCAGCCCCTCCAGCGCTGCACTGAGACACGGCTGCACCTCTGCTCACCAGCCAGGGGCCACACCTGATATGTGAGTCTGGCTGCTCTCCAGCTCAGGCTGACACAGCTTGCGCACAGATTCCTGAAACGTGAGCTGCTGCTCGAAGCAGGACAGCAGGTCTGCCATCTTGCTGCTGGTGTCACTGTCCTCCATGCTGGAGGGAGTGAGGGAGGGAGGGAGGAAGAAAGGGAGAGAGAAAGGAATTAAATCCTGTAACCACAAACATATAGCCAGAAACACTTGCATAGAACTTTCAGATCTGCTTCGGTAAGTCGTCTAAAAGCCAATTTTCATATTGCTTTTTAGAAGTGTAGCAATGGTTCTAAACTGAAATTTTCAGAGTAAAGCATTAGAAATTATTATCCAGAGAGAATTAAGTTTTCTAGGTTCAGGTATTGAAACCTAGTTTTAGTGTAGAGATGTTACGGGTTAGTGATAGACTTCAAGTGATTTGGAATCCTTGTATCAATAAATTCTGTATGTGGTCCTAATTCTTTCTAATCAAACAAAATAAAATATACAGAAGTTACTTAAAATACCTACTAAGGTTTTCTAGTAGATGTGCCTTATCACTTACTTTATCTTTAAAGAGGAAAATATCTAATTTGAAAAGAACTTAGGATCCACAAATCATCTACCAAAGCATGCAAACAGTTCAGAGTTCTAAAAATGAGGCGTGGCACCGCTTCCCTCCACAGCGAATACGCACTGCGTGTTTCCAGCGCTGTCGCCATCTGGAGACCGCGTGTACGTAATCTTGAACTCGATATCAGGCACCAGCTGCATAGCCCTGCGGTAGAACTTGATGGCTAAGAGAAGAAACGAGCTGTATCAGCTACACGCAACGTTCTGTCATTCACTTTACTCTGAGTATCCTTATCTGTGCTTGAATTCACTAACCTGCTTTACAAACAGCCAAATTCTCTTTTTTTTTACATGTTGCAGTAGTTCCCTGAACAAACTGATCTCCTAAACCTTACTGGTCAGAAAGGAACTGTATTAGTTCTTAAAGCTAAAATGGTTAGCTCTGAGTCTAAAAATGCAATTGTTTTAGCCACAATAAAACACTTATAAGTAAATTTTCTTTCTAGACAAAGTTGAAGAAAATTAGATCCTTCCAATGGAAAGAATATAATGAAGATTTTGGATTTCATACTTCAAATTCAATTTCCTTTAGCCAAGGTACTTTTTTTCTTTTTGGGGGGTTGTGGGGCTTGAACTCAGGACCTGGGCACTGTTCCTGACCTCTTTTGCTCAAGGCTAGCACTCTACCACTTTAAGCCACAGTGCCGCTTCTGATTTTTGAGTGATTAATTGGACTTTTCTGTTCAGGCTGGCTTCAAACCTCAATCTTCAGATCTCAGCCTCCTGAGTAGCTAGAATAACAGGTGAGCCACTGGCACCCATGCCAAGCTCCTCTTATTTAGCTAAAAACCTTTAAATGTAATTCTTTTGTCAGCTGACTTGTAGTTGTAATATCCAATAACTTCCCTGGACAGAGACTGTGGAACCCAGGGCTATAAAGCTGGCCAGGGCTCTTCCCACTTGCATGACATATTCTGCCACATTCTAATATTCTACATGAATTACCATATATTAAGTAGAGCTCAGACACTTACACACTAATGAAGACCATGTCAGAACTTGACCAATTGAACCCTTTTAAATGACTTCTTTTTCCTATTTTCCAATGATTCAAGAATAAGCGTTTTTCATGGCCCAATTATTACTTTTTTTTAATGGTGGTAATAGGATGTGAGCTCAGGGCTTTGCACTTGCTAAGCAGGTACTCTACCACTTGAGACATACCTCCAACCTTTTTTTTTTTTTTTGCTGGCATTGGGATTTAAACTTGGGGCCTTGCTTGGCTAACACTCTACCATTTGAGCCATGCCTCCTGCCTGGCTTCAAACTTCAGGTCTCTCAGGCTCCTGAGTAGCTAGGGTTATAGACAGGGGTGAGCTGCTGGGCCAGGAAGCTATCGTTTTGTCCAGGCGGGCTTGCATCTCCATGCCCCTATTTATACTTCCTCCACGGGGTCAGGGGAGCCTCACATGTATGCTCAGGCTTGCCTTGAACTGAGATTCTACCAATCTCAGCCTCTGAAGTAGCTAGGAATGTAAGTATGAGCCACCTGCCAGCTCCCAGTTATTATCTTTAATATAAAAAGTCCTCATGTGGAAAACAGTCAATCTAACAGCTGTTAAGTGAGCATCTTCTTTCTCCTTTTTCCCTCAGAATTAGAGACTGAATCCAGGGCACTGCAGGTGCTCCATCATTGAGCAATATCCCTACCCATCTTCATTTCTTAGAGTTATTAAGAGAGACCATTAGCTGGGTACCAGTGGCTCATGCCTATTAATTCTATTATTCAGGAGGCTGATACAGAAGACTGTGGTTTGAGCCAGCCTGGGCAGAAAAGTCCATGGTTCTCCATGTCCAAAAAGATGGACTGGAGGCATGGCTCAAGCAGTAGAGTACCAGCTGCAAGCAAGCACGCTGAGTGAGTGCAAAGGCCTGAGTTCAAGCCTCAGTACTAGCCAGAAAGAAAAAAAAGAACCGTGAAGCATATTCCTTTGATAAAATGTTTCCTTCCTAAGAAAAGAGCACAGTCATTTTAAAATGAATTTAAACTGAAGTCATTTTAAAATGAATTTTATTAACACTAAAAATGCACAAAAATCAATATCTTCTGAAGGTGAGTCATGTACACATACTCATCTTTATTTAAAAACTGACTTCAGAATATGGAGGCTGAAGTTATCCTAAATAAGTCTCAGTACAGAGAGCGGGCACCGTCGGGGTGGCGGATGGCCTACGCACACCAGAGGGTTACCTTCATAGAGGGCTCCGTTTTGTTCCTCCTCTACTGCCTTCAGGAAGAGTTCTCTCGCCTATGGAAGGACAAGAACAAAAGAAAATAAACTGGAAATCTGTACTACAACGAGCACAAAGAGCAGAGCCTTTCCCACACCTGGTGCTGGCTGCTCACTATCCAGACAAGACTCACTGTGACCTAAACCTCAGCCCACGCCTCACCTGAGTGGTAACACAGGGGTTGTGCAGTAAAGGTAAGACGTGAAACCTAAAAATGTTTAGAGGAAAACCTTGAGACCTACGACTACCATACCCATAGAAGAGAGAGGAGTGAGCTGACCTCATTAGAGCTTTGCTCTGCCAAACAACATGGGCCACCAGCTGGGAGAAAATGTCTACAGGTCACATAGTCAACAAAGCACTGTTCTAGCACACTTAAAAAGTGTGCAAATGCTGGGTACTGGGGGCTCACACCTATAATCCTAGCTACTCAGGAGGCTGAGCTCTGAGGATCATGGTTCAAAAGCCAGCCTGAGCAGGAAAAGACCTCATGAGACTCTCATCTCCATTTAACCACCAAAAAGCTGGAGTGGAGAGGTAGCTCAAGTGGTAGAGCACCAGCTTTGTCTCACTATCTGTCCTGGAACTTCCAGTCCTCCTGCCTCAGCCTCCTGAGTGCTGTGGTTATGGGCCTGCCCTACCACTCCTGGCTGAGGAAAAGCTCTTCTATTATATGTGTTACGAGTTCAGGCATGACAGATAATGACCTCGCTACATCAGTGAACATTCCTATGTGCTAAAAACGTAACTTGTTAGAACCTCTTCAATACTTAACTTTTCTTCCTTTGCCAGTTCTTGTTTCCCTTTGGTGTCTGCCGCTGCTTTTAGCAGTGCACCTCTTGCTGCTCTGCAAGGCTGAGCTTCCAAGCCGCTCGACCCCACTCCCGGGGCAAGCTCAAACATCCACTGAGCCCGGAACATCTGCAGCTGCGCCTAGGAGGATACAAGTGTTTCAGGATGTAGCAGGAAGGGGGCTAGCCTGGGACAATCTGTGAACATGCCTGGTATCTACTTCTGGGCCTCTTCTTTTTGTTCTGAGACCACACAATAAATACCCACTAAACATTATGTCTTATGGTAATTTTCAAAGCCAAGCACCAGTGTACTCCTGTAGTCTTCATTACTTGAGATCAGGAGGATAACAGTTGCAGGCTAGTCTGGGCAAAAAAGTTAGAGATCTCCCATAACCCACAGCAGGGTACAGTGCTAATGTCTTTAATCCTAACAACGGGAAGTCTGGAGCAGGAAGAACTGATCTCAGATACACACCTGCACAGGAATCAAAATCCTCAAAACTAACTGGTGAGAAACAGGGCTGGAATGTGGCCCAAGTGGTAAAGCGTCAGCCCAGCAAGGCAAGCCTTGGGTTTAACTCAGGCCTGTTAAATTTTTAAACCTGCTTAAAACTTAAAAATTGTACCACAGCAACAGCATACCAATGTAGGAAACCCACATTTTAATTAGAATTGAAAATGACTTAGGGACTGAGCTTATGAGCTTCCAATAATCTGTGTGTTAATATCATCTGATGGACAGCAGTGAGAGCAAAACCCTTCTCATAAATATTCCGTACTGTACCAGAGACATTTTTACAGAAAAAGCTTCACATGCTTTAAAAACAAACAAACAAAACCCCAAAGGTACCCATGATGTGGTAGGCTGTGGGGAAGAACTGCCCCCAGCCCTTTGGGAATGGACCTGGCGATCCCAGTCCCCACCCAGTGGCCAAGGAGAGGCCAGCTGGGAAAGTGCATCCTGCAGACCGCAGCAGACCCCACTCCCCTCGTCCATCTAGAGAAACCTCCGCCAGGCAGCCCCACCTGCCTCCCTCCTAAAGGCCGGGCTACACTGTGCAAGTGACTGCCGGTCTCCTTTTCTTTGAAGGTAGAAAATACCCAGCTCAGGTTTTCCTCATATTCTTTACACTGCCTCGATTCCCACATGTACTTCTCTCGTGCACTTGCTCATCTCTGACTTAAGGTCTTCGGGACACACACACACAGTCTAAAAGCTTGTCAGCTTACTATCAGTTCATTCAGGGAAGTTTTCCTATCTTAATGCACAAAGATTCACTTCATCCTTTTTTGTGGCTGCAGTGTATTTTGCTGCATGAAGGCAATCTTCCTTAACACACCATCAGATTTTATGTTTTGTTGTTGTTGTTGGTCGTGGGTCTTGAACTCTGGGACTGGGCACTGTTCCTCAGCTCTTCAGCTCAAGGCGAGCACTCTACCACTTGAGCCACAGCACCACTTCTGGTTTTCTGGTGGTTAATTGGAGATAAGAGTCTCATGGACTTTCTTGCCTGGGCTGGCTTTGAACTGTAATCTTCAGATCTCAGCCTCCTGTACAGGCATGAGCCACTGGTGCCCAGCTACATTTACGCTTTTCTATGCAAGCACATGATGGTACAACAAACATCTATGCTAAGGCTTATCTGCACACTTTACACTTCCTTAGGTCCACCCTGGAGAAGAACTGATTAGGACATCTGCTTTGTATTTAGCCCATCTGCCCTTCTGAAAAGCTGTGGACATTCACAATTGCCTCCTTCCCCTCCCCCCCCCATGGCAAGAGACATTATTCGCCAAACGGACTAAATTATTAACGAAGCTAATTATATACTTTCCATTAGCCATCCACTTCCATCTTTCTAGCCTGTGTTCCTCTAATTTACAAGTGCTCTACCTAAGGATAGCAGGTCTGCCTACATAGTAAACTTGTTCTATTTCTTTTAGCTTGAGTTATGATGCCTTTTGTAATACTGAGGCTTTAAACTTTTAAGTGGCCACATGTGCCAATGTTTTTCTTAAAGGTGATGAGCTTAAGTCTGCTAAGGCTTATTTTGAGTAATTCTTACCTACACAGTTACATAGCAACAATTACTGATACCTTTTCACTAAAGAAGTCTGTCACATATTTTAAGTATGCTATAAAGCACGGAAAATCCTGTTACACTGAGTACAAACAAGAACCTGTGGCCCACCACCGCCACCGCCCAGTTCCGCTCTGAGTCCAGCCTGGGCCTGGGAGAGAGGACTGTGTGCATCATGGTGCGTACCTGCAGGTCTGATTCAGCAGGACTCTCGTTTTCCCCGTCTCCGGCTCTGACATCGTCAGAATGACAATCCTCCTCAGCTTCTGCCTGAGGGAAAACCAAAATAACATGAAGGATGTGTGAACACCAGCCTCCCTCATCTGTCCTCACTTCTTCTACCTCAACATCAAGTTCAGCTGTGGAGCCCACCAAACCACCAGAGCGGGGGCAAAAGAAACGAGCCTGGAAAGCACATCCGTGCTTCAAACGAGAGCTCCGTCACTGTGAACCTTTGTCCATCTCCAAACTATCCTAGTTCTAAATGAAGTAATCCAAGTCCTTCTTTCCCCAGTGGCCGGACAAGACAGATGTCCTGGGTGATGCTGGTTCCTTCCGACAATCCATGGAAAACTACTTTCTTTTAGAAAAACAAAACGAAACAAAATCAAGCATTTTGGTTTTTCTTCTTGGTTCTACAAAACCAAGTGGAAGTTTTCAGTTTTTTGTTTTTGCTGATCTTGAGGCTTCACCTCAGGGCCTGGGTACCATCCCTGAGCTCTTGATCACTCAAGGCTAGAACTCTACCACTTGAGCCACAGCTCCACTTCCAGGCTTTTAGTGGTTAGTTGGAGGTAAGAGTGTCATTGGCTTTCCTGCCTGCGCTGGCTTTGAACCACAATCCTCAGATCTCCACTTCCTGAATAACTAGGATTACCAGGCATGAGCCATCAGTGTTTGGCAAAACCAAATGTATTTTAACTTTTTTGTCAGTTGTGGGGCCTGAACTGTGGGCCTGGGTGCTGTCCCTCAGCTCTTCAGCTCAAGGCTTGTATACTACTTGAGCCACAGTGCCACTTCTGACTTTTTCTGCTTATGTGGTGCTGAGGAATGGAACCCAGGGCCTCATGCATGCAAGGCAAGCAGTCTACCAATAAGCCACCTTCCCAGCCCTATTTTAACTTTTTATGAGAAAATTTATTCAACAGTAAAGACAACAATAATTAATCCTCAAGTAATCATGGCTCACTTTCAATAATTATCAACAACTCAATATCAAATATGAACTTTCAGTATTCATAGTTCTGAGGATGTAAAATGTACACATTTAAGTCTGTGATATCAAGGTTTAAATAAGGCTCACTACTGCAGTTGGTTGAAATTTCTCGATTCTTTTCTCATCTTCTCCTGGCCCCGCCCATTTCTTGTAGCTTCTGATGAGCTTGGAGACCTCTCTGTAGAGCTTAGATGTTGCTGAGGTGTCACTAAACATGACCCTTTATCCTTCTACTCATGTGAATTGTGGCTGGCTCAAGCAGGCTTGACTAGATTCTCATAAGAGGTTTCTTGCATTCCCAAGACTGCCTTGTGGGTGATGTGTTTTAGAGGAGGAAAGGAAGGAAATGCAGTTGGCCAAGTGCTACTGCCATTCCAAACACAATCAGCTCAGGCCAACTAAGAAAAAGAGAGAACTCCAACATTTATATCCACAAACTCCAGACTATTATATTGTTTTATGCCAATGACACAAAGTTGCTTCTTTGTAGATATCTTCTTCAAAGGGAACTTGAGTGACACCTATCAGACAAAACTGATTCGTATTGTCCCTGAGCTTTTTTTGCTCAAGGTTAGCACTCTACCACTTTGAGCCACAGTGCCACTTCTGGTTTTCTGGTGGTTTATTGGAGATAAAGAGTCTCACGGACTGTTCTGCCTGGGCTGACTTTGAATCGTGATCCTCAGATCTCAGCCTCTTGAATAGCCAGGATTATAGGTGTGAGCCACTGTGCCCAGCTACTTTATTTTTTTTAATAGTGTGAAATGAACAACTTTTCCAAGCTCCAGTTTAAAATGCTTCCCAAGGTAACTGAGAACAACTCTGCTGGAGAAATTAATTTGAGTGGTATAGAGCTCAGCAATATTTATTTTGTGGATTATATAAATGATTACCATGAAAGATGGCCCTTCTTTTATGTAACTGACACACTAGTGAACACGTTCTATCAGAACTTCTGTTTTTCAATAGGAAAGTCATTAGCAAAGTACTATAGCTGGGAGTGCTTTTTATCAAAAGACATCTTTGTTTAATTTGTTTTATAAATCCCATCTCAACACACTGGAGTGCTCTGCAGTGGAATAAGGCTGGCCTGGATGACTGAATGTGACCGTGGGCTAACGAAGGTCTGATTCCAAGTCCCTCTACTTATCCTTCCACGACTCCTGCCTCTCCCGGAGACGGAAGCTTGCCTCAGTTCCTCCGTTTGCTAATACATTATTAGGAAACAGAGCCTGCTCAGCGCTCGGTGTGATGAGTTCTATACAAAAATGGGGCAATCAGGGAAATGACCTTGATGCTCAGCTAGTGGTAACAATAAAACCAACTTCATCCATTCCAAAGGCAGTAGGGTTTCACAAGGCAAATTGAAGCTATTGCCTCATTCCAGGGGGTAGAAATGCTTCTAGAACCATAGATAAAACAGATTAACCAGTATTCTTACACAGCATTACAGTGCAATGCTGCCAGCCTTATCTCTGGCAGCCAGGCCACAGGAGGGGTGCCCGCAATACTCCACTAGTTACAGCAGGGCATAATGCTGGGCACACTAGAAAGGGTGGATCAGGAAGGAAATTAATAAAGCAGCAGCTGCTCCCACATGGTAATGGATGGGCCCCAGGCTGGTGCTCCTGGGAGGTGGTGGAGCTCTGGGAAGTCCTCAGGTCCTAAGGGTAGGCCGTGGTACCCTCCTCTTCCGCCCGTTCTGGCGCTCACTCCAGCCATCACGTAATGTTTTGTCAGAGGCCCGGAGAGGCTCCTCTAGGACCCTTGAGCATGAAGATGCCTCCTCCTTTGTAAGTCAGTTCTCTCAGGGCTTTTCTGGTAGGAACACAGGCAGGTACGTGGCATGTTTGCCTCCCACTGAGATGTCCCCTTGCTTTCTCACTAAGTCTGACTTCTCACTGTAAACTTCAAGTCTGACAGGTGGGAAGGGATAGTACTGTAGGGTTTTCTCCTAGTAATCTAGCCTCCTGACTCCTGGTGACCAGTCAGATTGAGCTGCTCTCTCTACTTGGAATCTTCCTCCTCATTTTGGCTACTTGTCCTCAACCTTTACCATCCAGGTGTGGGCTCACTGAGCACCCACGCCGTCTTTTGCTTTGTGTCTCCTAACTCTGTGCTGAGATAATTTGTTTCCTCCGCTGAAGACAGTGAACACACCTTGCTCATCTTTGTAACCTTAAGATCAAAACACTGGTTGATTTTCAGGAAAGGCTTTGGCTCTCTCCTCTTTAAGAAAGACATCTGTATAAAGATGGTAATCTCTAAAGTACCTTTTCAGCCGATGTAACATTCTTGATCGCAAACAACCTTCTGGTTTGTTCAGGCTGAAGATGTAGCATTGGACCAAAGTCTAACCTATGCCAGGCCAGTCTTGGTGCTCAAAAGTGTGGCTGAGTAAACAGAATGTACTGCAGACCCCAAGGTCAAGGATGGAAATGGGAAATCTGTAACAAGATGCCTTCCTCCCTGGCTAAGCTCTGGTCCACTAGTACCTTGATTCTGACACAAAAACAAGAACTGGTGTTGACTGAGCGTAGCCAGCTTCAGCATCACGGGCGCCAGAGGTTTCCGATTTCTATGACTGAGCCTGACCGGAGTGTCACCTTTCCCTCAGGCAGCTGTCTTCTTCCAGTCACTTTGGTTTCACCGGTGGGATTAGGGAAAGGGAAAGGTTAAGCACTTAATCCTCACCAGAAAATGACTCCAGAAAGTCTGGAAGAGTCAACCAGTGCCTTTTCTTTCCTCCAGATTAGCTATACAAAATAAAACCATTCTGTCACTGTACTTTATATTAAAAAAAAAAAAAAAAGATGGGGGAGAGGGCTGGGCACCAGCCCATGCCTGCAATCCTTGGGACGCTGGAGGCTGAGATCTGAGGGCTGCAGTTCAAAGCCAGCCGGGACGGGAAACTCTATGTGACTCTTACCTCCCATTCACCACCACAAAGGAGGAAGAGGAGGTGTAGCTCAAATGCACTGGCCTTGAGTGAAAAATCTAAAGGGACACAGCCCAGGCCCTGAGTTCAGGCCCCAGGACTGGCACAAAGGCACCCTCTAGCAAAAAGCATGAGGGGGAGAGGTGTGCGTGGTGGTGTGACGGATGGAACCTTTCTACCCGGCACAAGTAAGCACGAGGACAGGGATCTTTGGGCACATTCAGGTCCCTGGCGCCGGGGTCCGCTCCGGACTTGGCTCGTCCTGCCATCCGGATGGCCGAGAAGGGGCGGTGGAGGCCGTGAGGACACCAGGGTCCGGGCCCGGAGGCCGACGGGCCGCCAAGGACGGGGCGCCCGCGGGCAGGAGCCTGGGTAACTCCTGGAGGCCGGCCTGGCTCGGCCTCTCTCTCCGGGGCGCGGGCAACAAGTGTCCGGGCGGCCAGGGCTCCCCGAACGCGGGTGCGCACGCAGCCCACGCTCGGCACCCTCGGTGCGCCCCCAGGGGGAGGCTTCCTCCGCGGCCCTGAGGACCCGGCCTCGCGTGGGGCCAGCGGGGGAGCAGC